TTGATTCTGTGTATAAAGACTTGTTCTCCTTTGTAGTGCCCAACTGCTATTGTACACTGGATTACATTCGGGAAAAACTTATTGCATATTAACCTTGTTCCATTGCATAGACCCGAAGAAGGAAGAAGATTTCTCAACAGTATAACAGGGCAATTTTCCTTTAAAACAAGTTCATGAGGGCTCATCCCACCAGGGCATAACTTGTTGATGAATTCTGTAGGGTAGATATTACACGTATCACTTATCATGGCATCAAAACTCTTGTATTTAACTGCTTGTCCAGGAAACTGCTCAATCATGAATGTATTGATAGAATCAACATCATCATTCATTGGTGTTAAAATTTCTTTTTCAGTGAACACTTGACTATCAAACTGCCCCTGAACAACTTCTGGAAATATTTGAAATGCAACAGTAGAAACTAATTCTGTTACATTAATGCTGGAATGAACAATGTCTTCTGGTAACTCAATCAGTGCATTTTCTGTATCTTGTAATTTCCCGTTGCCCAAATCAAGCAAAAAAGCAGAATAGACAGGATCTTCTCTTGCTCTAATGTTTTCTGTTAGGCTAAATTTGATGAATTTAGGACACTGATAAGAAGTAACTATACTTGCTTCAATTGCTTCCTTCATAGTTTTTGGAGGGACCACTGGTAAAACCTGCCTAAAATCACCTCCAAATACAACAACCTTGCCTCCAAATGTGAATTTATTCCCACATATATCTTGTAACAAAAGATCCAGAGACTCAAGGTTTTGTTTCTTAGCCATTGAAGCCTCATCCCATATTATAAGTGTAGTTTCCTTTAACAATGCTGCTAAACTACCTTGTTTTGGAACATCACAGGCTAAAGAAGCATCACTATCAATTGGTATTTTAAATCTTGAATGAGCAGTCCTACCTGAAGGAATGTTTGCAGCAGCAATTCCAGATGTTGCTGTAGGTAAAACAATCTTGTTCATTAAACGTATTTCTGCGTATAAAGCATTATACAAGAAAGTTTTCCCCGTGCCTCCAGGTCCATCAATAAAAAAAGCTCCACCTTTTTGTTGCATAACATGTTCCATAATACACACAAAGCAGCATTCTGTGCAGAGTTTAACTTAGAGCGATAAGTTAAGCATTCTTCTAGGATAGGTGCATCAAGGGCATCTGCAATGTCTTTTGTCCGTCTGAACTCGTCAGTAAATTGGGAATTTAAATAGTCTAATCCAAAAAAAACAAGAGATTTTCCCATGGCTTCAAGATGCTGCTCTATAGCTCTGACAGTAAGTTGTTGCACTCTATCCAGTTGCTGTGGATATTTGTGAGAAAAGTCTTCACCAAGAAAAGGGTAATATTTAACCCATAAAGCAGCAGGATCACTTGGTTTGCAGAATATAAGAACTGTTGCAAATAACCGGCGTAAGGCAGCAGGTATGTGAGTCTCACAAGCTTTAGCCAATGTTAAAGTAGTTGTATCATCATCTTCTATAAGTCCAAGTTTTAAAGCATTTTCTTGAAAATTTGGATAAAGATGACCATTGACAGTTCGTAAATCTTCAAATGACTTAGGGCTTCTTACATTTAGCAATAAAAGTCTTAAGAAAAACCGTTCACCTTCTGCGGGATAGACAAATGCTAATCTCCCAATTTATAGCTTATTCTGAACCCGTTGGCTCTACTTCTTATGATTTTGATCCCATGTATAGTGCTCACAGAATTCACCATATAAGTATCCCAATCCACCTTCAGAAGCAGCATTATTTGCAAAGAATTCGGTCAATTGAGTTTTAGACCGCTTAGAATTTGAAACTATAGCCTGAAGCCTTTCATGAGGATGAACACAAACAGTCTGCATGTTCGGCAAATGGACCTGTAAAGGCAAAACTGGAGGATACATCTCGAACAAATCAAAACTGAATATTCTCCATGCTGCTTCACAAGGAGATACCCAACGTCCTGATTGAAATTGTTTAATCTCATCTACAACTTCATTATTACGTGATACTACATTATAAGAAATTCTATCATGACCTTTATACACATATTTATATAAGTACTTTACTGCTTTAATTGTTGAACATACCTCAGACCTTTAAATGGCAATTAAATAGCAAAGACAAATAAGGATTATAGGGAATAACCCATTGATTGTCTAACTCTGCATTTCTTATACTTACTTTTTCCCCAGTCTCTCTTCTACGATAAATAGGGTATCCATCTTTATTATTAGTAGTTTCATTGCAAAAAATTTTAGGATACTTATTTTTGCAACTTAGTTTTAAACCCTGTGTGCGCATACATGCACATTCTGGGTTAAGTATACCACAAGGGCCATGCATCATGTGTACTAAAACAATTCGTCTAAGATTTGCATTACTTTCATACGGTATTTCGGCACAAACAAATCTATCATAATCAGCAGGACATTTCATCTTATACTCAGGTTTTAAAATAATTAAAAAGTGAGCATGTGGCAAACCTCTTTTTTGAAACTCCACTACATACACCATCACATCAACTTCTCCAAAAACCTTTCTCCCCATGATTTCTTTTTTTAATGCAAGCAGTTTTGCTCTGAAAACTCTAGCAACCAAATCAGGTCTGTTTTGTGCTCGTTCACCAGTAGCTAACTCGTCCTTGATTTCTGGCCAATTAGCATTACATGTCATTGGGCTTGCCAAATCGTTGCACCAATGCCATAGCATTTAAATACCGCTTTTTCATGTCTTTAGGACCTCCAATATAAGTGGGGGGTAATATCACTCTACGACCAACATTATAAGCAATAGTTTCTCCACTATCCAAGGAATCTAAAATATCTTTATATAGATCAGCCCTAATTGTATCTTGATTGTTTCGGAAATAATCGAGCCTTGTATTCTCAATCTTTATATACATATCGACTATGTATTGCTGGAAACATCTTCCTGCCCATAGTAGCATGTTATTAGGCCGAATTTGCAACTTATAAGCGTAATATTCTCTGGGAGAAATGAATTTATCTACTTTAGTATTTCTTCTTTTTGAACATGCACAAAATGAATCGATAAACAATGTAAGCTCAAAACAATTTACGGCATATTCCAAATAGATTATAAAACAGATAAATTTGAATGTGTACGTGTTTCTTCTTCATGTAGCAAATCCTCAGCACTATGAACAACACAAGACATTATAGGATCTGGAAGTACATCTGCTGATCTACTCGAATGAGACTTTTTTTTAAGACCTTGAGTCCACCCACATTCTCCTCGAGGAAATAATAATGGATACTGAAGTGGATCATAACAACCATAGTGATGATAGATCCTGTGAGACTTATTAGCTTTTCCAACTACCATAATATGAGGACTCGAGCTTTGACTCGAGGAAGCATTTTCTGGCCAGATTACAGCGACATCATCAACAACCGGAGCATTATAGACACGCTGATCAAGAACAGGATTCTGATTCAGAATGATCTTCGTGTCTTCACTGACAACTCGTTCCCGTAGAGACCGGAAAAAAAATAGCATATGGATTCTGTTATGATACTTGCATAAGAATATGAATCACATCTTCTCTTACTTCTAGAAAAGAACCCAATCTATTTTTTACTTCTTGCTGTCCATCATAGAAATACAGTTGAAGGTATTTAGGGCAGTTATCCTTAGGTAGTAAATTTGGGACGTAATGATACATTTGACCTTGTAGCTTGAATACATAAATTCCTTTGTAAGTTTTTGTATCAAAACGGCCTCCAAGTGAACTGTACACAAACAAATTGTTATATAGTCTAGAATACTGTCAAAAATGGTCAGCAATTTCGTCCTTTGAAGTGAATAAATAAACAAGTTCAGCAGGATACTCATTTGCCGCTATCTCAATGTCCCCATTTCCACAACAAAAGTGCAGGGACTCAAACATAAATTTCTTTGCACCACATTTAGGGCAGTAAACAGGTACAGAAAGTTTCATAGGTTCTCTTGGTAATTCTCGATCTATAGCAGCACCAAGGAGATCTATAAAAACACACCAAAAAAACAACAATCACTACCCACCATAGAATGTACTTATAAAATGCAAAGCATTGCTGTAATTAAGAAAAATACTTTCTGTAAGACGCTGTCTAGCTGGTGTGCTTCTTTGTGATGATTCACAGTTAAAGGCACAAATTCAGCTGGATTAGATATGGCATTCTAATCTTGCCAACAAATTGCAATGTTTTTGTTTTTTTTTTTTTTTTTTTTTTTTTTTTTGGGCTTTTTAAGTTTTTGAGGAGACAAATCTGAAGCAGTTCACAGTAGTATATCTACTCAAAAATGGTTATCAGAATATGCCATGAAGTAAGACAAGTAACTTAACAATAGCAAATTTAATACAATATGCAATAAGGTTAAAAGCAAACTAAGGAATTTTTACTTGATACCTATTTTGCTGTGGTTGAGGTTGTTGTTGTACACATCTACGTTTCGTTGTCCTTTGAGTTGAGCTCAAATAGGAATCCTGATACTGATTATGTGATGTAGGTGGGCTACAATTCCAAACACTTTCAGTTTTATTTCCTAACAAGGAATTCATTAACTTAAATTTTGATAAGCTAACCAGATAATTTACCACGCAAATGCTGATTGTGAGAACCTTTGTGCAGCCTGCTGTACTCGTTTACAACTTTTGCGTGATAATTTTGGCAAACCATAACAACAATCTAAGGCACAAGAGTTCAAAATTATTCCATGGCATAAAAGATGCAAGTAGTAGTTCTAAACAAAGCAGTATATTGTATAGAATCCAAATTCAGACAATACCCATAATTACAACGGAAGAACAACTGAACTCCTTCTTATAGCTGAATTGCAAATAAATCTCCAGAAACCTAAATCAGATTTGTTGAAACTGTCAAGTAAATAAATTCAAAAACCATAGGCAACCTATGGTCATAACAAATCCAAAGAACAGTAAATAACACCAGTTCAAATATTCTGCATATAAATAGATATATTTAAAAGAAATATAAATAATACAACATGAAAAACAGACACACACACACAAATATATATATATATTATCCGAATATTATTACATCAAAAGAAGTGCATAAGAAAAGAAAGCAGCACCCACAACTTGTTTCTTAGACATTACTAATTAATAAATAAGCACTAACTGCATGCTAATATTACCACTACATAAAACAAACCTACTGAGTGAGTACAAGCCCTTAAACTTAGAGTCCAAAATAAGCATACTTTAATAACACATGACTAATCAACCCTAGCACGCTTAAATACAGCTTCTAAATCTGGCACATTAGTAACAAGGCAGTCTGAAGCTTCTACTTCTTTAGCATTTTTAGAGCATTCTTCCACTCCAACCCTACGCTTAATTGGACAATTTGGTGGGAGCGAAAGAACCGAAATTTGTGATCCTTCATCAGTTGGTGTCATATAGATCTCACTCCCTAAACCAGTAGAAAATTCATCCTGTTTAGAACTCCTTTCTAAACATTCAAGATGGCCTTTCAGAATCATAAACTTTTCCCGAATCAAAGAACATTTAGCACCGAGCTTTGCAGCATCACCATAATTGCCATCAACTATTTCCAGGTTTAATCGAGAATCTATGAAAAAAGATGCTTTCCTTACAACTCTTTGTTCAGCTGTAACTGCTTCTGGACAGGGGTCACTAAAAATACACTCCATGCCAATGTTGTTATGAGGACATGTTACCATCAGCCAAGAAATATAGCCATGTCCTTGTACCATAGTAGTCTCTATAGTAGTTGCAATTACACCAGTTTTCCTCACTAAGACACCCAAGAATTGTACAAAATCAACTGAAACATGAATATCATGAAATGATGCATTCTCTCTTGAAATACAGTCTGCATGTATACAACTCAGGTCTGCCCTCTCTTGTACCAATTCAGCACATCTATTCTTATATAGCTTGACACAAAGACGATACATCTTTAGACGTTCGTGCGTGAAATCATCTACTCGGACATTAAACAGACAATCAATCTTTTGACAGCCTTGTGAGCTGCTCTCTCGCGAGACTCTTCTACTGAAGTGGCATCCCCACCATAAAAAAGAAATTTTGCTCGTGAATTTGGCCGATTAACACGTACAAAGGCATTGTTCTTAGCAATATCTATGAATCCATAGACTGGAGGTGGAAACTGAAGCCAATTAACAATCTTTTCCAAAAGAGGCTGAAAAGGAACACAAACTTTGGTTGCTCGTCTAGCCATAACCTGTAATGGCAAAAGTGATGTTCAGGACAAAAATTACTTAGACCAGAAAGCTGTGTTTCTTCCAAAAAACACCTTCACACCGTATCTACGCGGGTAACAAAAATTGGAACAGAGCTCTAAGAAAAATAACTCTAAAAACTACAACAATTCACTAAAATCAGATTCATGCACCACAAAAAGCATAAAATTTGCAAATAACAGGACATCAAAAAGCACATTACAGATCAAAACTATAATTTAAAAACTATCTAAGCGTAAAGTTTAAGAAATTACCTCAAAATATCTTGCACATTAAACAAAACACACTGATTTCTAAATCCACCAAACCCCAATAAACTATCACCGAACCTGTAATGCAAAAAATGATAAAACTTAAAACACAAAAATTAAATTATTAATAACTATTCTATACTTCACCCTTCAAAATTATCTGTAAACCATGCCTCTTAAATTATCTTTTAGTCATACCTCTTTAACAACAGGCAAAAATTGCAATAATGTTTTCTAAAGCCTATAAACAACACACAACATAACTAAACACCTTAAATAAATTGAATTGAACACAAAGATGTAATTTTGAAGTTTGATTTTTGAGAGTAACATCCAATCTGTCGACAATTCCAATTATTAAATGAAAACACATAAAATTAGCTATTAATAATTCTTTTATACTTCACCCTTTCAACACTATCTTTAAATCATCGTCTGAAATTAGTTAGGATCTCTGTTCCAATACCTATAAACAAAGAATACTACTAAACACCTTAACTAAATTTATGCCATAAACAAAATAATACATAACAATCTCATAAAACAAAAAGGGTGCAATGTTAAAGTTCGATTTGTCAGGAAATGTCCAATTTGTCAAGAAATCCAAATACCAATCTCTGGCAATGGTCAATTCGATAAGGAAACCAAAAACAATATTGGCTACAATATTAACACTAAAACGAATACCTTTACAACCCAATCTCAAATCATAAGTATCAAGAAATGATTTATTTTTATGATTTTTAATTTATGGGAAAATATAGCAACATCTTCCTCTATATATAGGCAATGAAACCGACTATACCCACAGTGGGAACCCTAAAAACAGTCATAATTCTCCTTCCTAAAAGTACAATTGAGTAATCCCCAAGGCTTTGTTGTGCCTCAAGTTTCGGGAATAGGCACTGCACAAAGTGGGTAAGCTACTGTACATGACAGAAAGCATTCGTTGACTGAAACTAATACTATAACCAAACTAAGTCAATTCCTAATCTACTAATCAAAACGAAGCAACAATTTAAACATGCAAGGCAATACAACAACCCTGACAAACAAATCCAAACCAGTAAAAATACATACCAGCCACTCTCAGACATAGCAGCAACCAAAGATGAATCCCTTCCAAACCTCATCAGCCACGGAAGTACACAGCAGAAACCAAACCAAGAATGAAGTCAAACACAGCTCCAGTAAATCAATAATGCAATTTTAATCAGAAAAGAAAGAACAGCTGTAATCTCTTCTACACGAGGCAAAGAAATGGAGAAAAAAAAACCCCCGTACAGGTGGCAAGGAAAATACAGTTCAAACCCCAGAAAGGGTAATTTCGGAAATACATTTAATTCGGGGGTGATAGTGTAATAACACCAGAAAACACTGTTGCTAAGTTCCCATATTTAATAAGGTTTATAGATTAGTGAAAACTATAATGAACAAAATAGAGCCTCTCTTTAAAAAAATTTACCATCATTAACAAAACTCTAATTTGTCTTTATAAAATGTTACTCCCTCCATTAATTATTATGTGTAAATTTGAAATATTTTATGTCTCACAAATAATGCCCTAAAGTTGCACATAATAATTAACGGAGGTATGTAGTATGATATTCTAATATTGTCTAAAATCTTTTTTCAAGTGATTAATTAGTCATTCTATTAATTTTAAATTGATTTGATATTTACATTTAAAGTTGGTTGACGTGTGGGTAGCACGGGGCGATCCAACTACATATATAACTTTTGATACTGCGTTGTGGTATGAAATATTTTCATTGTTGGTTTAATTTTAATTTCCCCATTACAATAATAGTACAGTTTAGAATTCATGATTTTTTTTAAATACCCTAATAGTAAATTTGATACTAAAATTATTAAGTTTATACTTTTTTTTTTTTTTTACAGGAAGATGATACTTTGTTATACTCAGCCCGTTCCTAGCTTTTTGGTGGCCTATGAAAAATTAGGGCCCTTATTATCCAGTAAAGTAAACAAATGATTTTTTTTAACGGATTGAATTAAAAAATAAAAATCAACTTACAATACAGAAAAAAACAATAACTTAAAAATTAGGTATCCAAATCAACATACAAAACATTGTCCACGAACATTTATAGATACAAAATCACCAATAAGGAAATAATAATGTCCATATTAATATGATAAAACATATTTTCCTCAATACATAAAATGGCAAGACCATTTAGTCTTTCTTGTGACATTGATAACCTCAAAAACATTTGCAATAATTTTAACTTCGAAAAACTACTTACAACTGATGCAGCGGTGACCGGATCCCATTGAAAATCAAAGATGAAGAATACCATTCGAATAATTGAATTAGCCCTTTTTTAGGAGATTACTGAGGTTGAAAATTGTAAAAATAAATTAACTACAGAAGAAATCAATTAATTATGAATGAGAAAATATTATTTTGGAAGAAAATAACAATAAATTATTGCAATTAAGATTTTTTAGGGGAATTATTAGGAAAGAATAAAGGATTTGTAAGCTGAAATTTAGGAAAATGAACATAATAATATGGAAAAGCATGAAGGCGTACATACTGTAACATTTTTTTGAAATAGTACATTGCATACTGTAACATTAATTAGTTAGGATTTTTCTCCCTAACTTTTCAAAAAAAAAAAAAAAAAAAGGCTGAAGGACATTAATTAAAACTTGGGCCTTCTTCATTCGGGCCCCGGGCGACGACACCTGTTGCCCTGCCTTAGGGATGGCCCTGATTATACACCAATAATAACTGTTGTACATACATGTAACTAAGATGATTTAATAATGCAAAACTAAAATCAATACTAATGACATACAATTCATACTACATCGCCATTAATAATTTCAAAGATATTTTTTCATACATCAACAATACCTGCCTTACTAATTTTTAAAGTGCACCCATTATTATCTAATACGGGTGATGATAATAACGACATTGTTCTATCCCACACTTCAGTGCTCTTATTGAACTTCTTTGACATAAATATCCTTGTACATATATTATTACACCAAATTCTTCCTAGTGCAAGTCGCACCTTCCTCCCGTTCGATATTATCATATTGCTACCACCTTCATAATCATTCCGGGACACTTCTATAACATCATTGACAGCTACAATAAAAAGATTGTATTTCTTTGCCAACGATTTAAGTCCATTTGATACCACATTTAAAATTGCAGTCCTTTCCATCATAGAATATCTTGTGTTAGTAAAATGAAAACGACATATACTTGAAATAGAGTCAATGACAACAACTCGATACTGTCCTATCGTACCTATTGAGCTTTGCAAGAATGTTTCAAGCCATTGCACGGTTCCTACTAGATTACAAGGAGATTCCACCTTTTTCACTAATATCCTCTCCAACGGGTGCTGACCTTGTGTTGTTGTTGAACCAAAAACATGCGGGATCATTTCATTCGTTATGACCGATGGAAAATGACCGATTGGTTGTATGTACACCGATGGAGATCCTAAACCCCTATTGACGGAGCCAACTGAGAAGCTAACATCATTTTCAAGCACATTTGTATCTTCCCTGTTCCCTCATCACCACGTATCTCAGTGATGTGACCTGAACAAAACCCTCAATTCAACATATTGTCTATTGTAGAGCACCTACTACAAGTAGTGTTCATTTTCGGGAGATGAAACTACTCACTACCCACTTATTAAGATTTTTACATATTTTTCATCTTATCACCCCCTTGACACACTTGTATATGATTGTTAGTTTGAATAAATAGGTTGTGAACTAGTGACAAATCAACTCACATCCCTATTGCTAACAAGCATGTGAATCTATTATGTCGTATTCATGTATTGTTTTTTTCTTTGCAAAATCAATCTTTTTTTTAATGAATTCCTACTAAATATACACTTGCAATTCCCTAATAATAATAATAATAATAATAATAATAATAATAATAATAATAATAATAATAACCAAAATTATACACTTGCACTACTTTTAAACATTAACAAAATAGTTCAATCTACTTTTTTTCTAAACCGGGATAAATTCATCCAAAACTAATGCATACTACTATTTTCTTGCAATTTTTAAAACCAAATAATAGCACATACTTGATAGAAAGCAAACAACAAAAGTATGTCGTACTCCAACCTTCTACATCTTACACTAACAACTAAAACAACACTTTTTAAACTACAATACTAATATTCATACTAATAATAATATAATCAACTACTATTATGTTCATCATACATATAATACTCACCTGGCATATCACAGGAACTTATCCATTTCATTAACATGAAAAAGCATTCAACTCACCTGTCAGCTGTCAAGGTTGATATGTCAAAAGCATATGGTCGGGTTGATTGGATTTTTTTATTTAAAATCCTTAAAACCTATGGTTTCTCTTCCCGGTGGATTCAGTGGATTTCTCAATTTGTCTCAACGGTCAGTTTCAAGGCCATTGTGAATGGGAAAACGACAAAGAGCTTCAAATCACATTGCGGTCTACGACAAGGTGATCCTCTATCCCCGTATTTATTCCTTTTTTTTATGGATGTTTTGTCTAGAATGCTGCTCTTAGCTGAATAAATAAAGTTGTTTAGTGGAATTAAAATTGCTATAAGGGCTCCCAAAATTTCTCATTTATTTTTTGCAGATGATGCCATGTTTTTCTTCAAAATCGATCACACTTCTTGTGAAAACATCCGGGATATTTTAACAAGGTTTGGGGCAGTATTAGGGCAAAGGATAAATTTTCAAAAGTCTTACATAAAATTCAGTCCTTCTGTCCCTCAAAGCCTTGTTACCGATTTTAAAGAGATTCTAAGGATCCCTAGTGTTCAGATTATGGGAACATACTTAGGGAATCCGATTGATATTGTGGGGAAAAAATCAGACAGCTTCAACTTCTTGGTGGAGAAAGTAAAAACAAAAATCCTTGCTTAGTCTACTTGTAGAGCATCATAATCTACAAAATTGGTACTTATTAATTCGGTTTTAATGGGAATAACTTCACATGTCATGAAGTCCCTTAAATTACCGTTATCAATGGCCAACAAATTAGATTTAATTATAACAAGATTCTGGTGGGCCACTAGTGGGGAAAAGGGTATTCATTGGATGAAGCGGGAAAATTATTCAGTTACCGAAAGGTATGGGCGGTTTGGGAATTAGAGCTACTAGTTTGATGAATGATACCCTTCTGTTCAAGAATGTTCTTAGGATGCACAAGAATCCACAACTTTTAGCGGCTAAGGTTTTCAATGCTAAATTAAAATGTGTTATGTGTCATGGTGCTCCAAGGAATCTGGTGCTAGGATCCCTTTCGTATGCCCGAAGAGGATTCCAGCAAGTGGCCAATCATTTCCGACCAGGTTTTGCTTGGAAGATTGGGAATGGTGATAATATTCCTGCTTGTAGTAGGACTGGGTTCATGGGACAACTCCAGTTGTCCGGTCAAATCACACTTTGGGTGACAGTTTGAGGTGGAAGGTTAGAGATTTTATAAACCTGGATTCGTGCTCATGGAAAGCTACTCTTGTGAGAGAGAGATTTGAATGGCATAGTGCACAAAAAAATTCTTGGTATTGAACTTCCTCTGGACAGGGCGGAGGACTTCATGTATTGGCCGAATCATTCCTCGGGAAAATTTACAGTTAAATCTAGGTATGCCTTCTTATCACAAAAGGATACCAACCAGGATCCGGTGCAAAGCACAGGTACGTTAAGCTTTTTCAAGATAATTTGGAGACTAAACATACAACCAAAATGGAGCATGTTCGTGTGGAAACTTTACTATGATGCCATCCCAACAAAAGAAAAATTAGCACAGCGTGGTATGCAAATGAATGTTTTGTGCGATTTTTGCGGAGTGGAGGTTGAAAACATATAACACATCTTTAGGTTATGTGATCTGGCTAAATTTGCATGGCAAAATGCAAACATAGCTGACACTTATACAACTACTGAGTCCAATACCGTCAATCTCCCGGATTGGATTCAAACCTATATCCTGCTTCTTTATAGTCAGGATGGAATTTAGAGCTCCGCAATAACAAGCTTTATTGCAATTTTATGGGGTCTGTGAATTACTAGAAATCAACGTGTTTTCAAAGGAGATAGTGGTGGTACTACCACTTTGGAGAAAAACATAGCACAGGCTGTACAATCACTGCATGATTTCAACAAGCCAGATATACTTTTTTCAGGTGTGCAGCAACATTAGGATATGGAACCCAATGAACCGCCGGGATTCTCTCAGGTACATATAGGACGGGAAGGT